AACGCCTGTCTTGCTCCGGCTAGGCTAATGGTAGTGTATTATTAGTCTATTTTGATATGATTTGTTAATAATGTCCTCATAACATAATGTGCTGCAGCACAATAATAAGAGGGGAAAGCTAACTGAACTAGCTGTTCTCCTTCTTTATCTAGCTTCTTCTTTTCTGAAGTTTAACAATGGTAGGCAAACAATTTGAAAGTCCATTACCGTCACATACCAGTATGGATTGTGGAATAAAATGACAAACAAATTGATCTAGTCAACTTTATATCCATAATATAATATCCCAATATACTATATCTTTATCTAATATAATTACTATTTATTATTATAAATATCTTAACTTTTATGTTCCAGATGCTCCTGTTCTTCCCCCTATCTTCAATCTCATAACCATATTTTCCCAACTAACTACTTTGAGCCCCAAAAACTTTTTCAGCTCCTCTTGCAATGATCCTGATTTTCTCTGTCTTATGTTTGGCTTGGTCTGTGCGGTTGATGACATAGGCTATGAATAAAATCAGTTTTTCTACTGTTGGAATGTAGTTATCTTCTCTTTCTGCTTTATTTTGCTCTTCTTCTATCCTTTGCCGAACTCTCTTCACTGCTTCTGCATAGCTTATATTTTTGTTGTTTTTAACATGTTGTATCTCGACTGCTTTCTTTCTCACCTCACATCCTCCACAAACCCCACTTATGCTACCCCTCTGAAACCCATCTGTGCCGAGTTCAGATCGAGCTTGGTTCTGTTAATCGTGCCAATCTAGGTTCCTTACAGCGTTTACATATCACGCTATCCAAGCTTCCTCGCCTCCTAATGACGATCTACAGTACTACTGCATTCTAGAAACAAGCAAATCAACATGGCAGCACCCGTAACATTCAGGAATTTTTGGAGAGTCAGACGAGGAAGGCAGCCTTTGGTGAATTTACTTGACAGAGTTGTCTTTTGGGACGTGGATATGACAAATGACAGTCTAATCAGGGTTTATAGACGCAGGAAACATCAGGAGTTGAGGCCTACCACATCGATAAGCAGAATCATCACTGGAAATCGTTTGGAGGCTGACTGTACGGAGATGAAGCTGTCTGCTCATGCCCTCTTTGTTATCTGAGATCTGAGCCAAAACTGAACCGCACCGAGCCCTACTGTTGAACTAGTAGCAGTTTAGCAGTGTGGGTGTGTCTGGCACGGTCTGGTTCAGTTTGCGTGCCATTTACATTCAACAGCTATCTCTGTTACCGTGCTCAAACCGCTCTCGGCACGGTTTGAAAAGGGTAGTGGAAATGGGATAATAGTTCGCTTTGTGCTTGCCTCCACAGTTGCAGCACCATTTTTTCAGCTTCTTCCTTGCATTCCTCGATTTTGTGTTCTTCTCCGCATTTTGAACATCTTTGCTTTCTCCTGCTGCCATGCAGCGCTGACACCTGTACCATCTGAGTGGAGGCAGAATAAACAGTCTAAATGGGGAAACTCATGAAACCTATTTTGACTCTTTCTGGTTGAACTGGCTCTGAAAAATGTCAACAGTGATGTGCTTGCCACCTTTTCCCCTTGTGTGTTTTTATAAAGTCTCTGTATCTTGTTAACATGTCCTCCAAGAATGTTATTCTTTCATTTATCCAAATTCTCTAGAATTGGTATTCCTATTACTCCTTTCACCGTTTTATTCTGTCCTATGACTTTTATCTCTATGACTTCTCTTTTCTTTAGCTCTTCAACATCCAATGCTTTGATTTTTTTTGCTCCTCATTTTTGCAAATTACCAGCAAGTTTCCATCTCCCTTCACTGATTCGACTTTCCCAGTTTTCTTAATTATTTCTATGGAAATCAAAATGGGGCTTAAATAAGGTTGCCAACTCCCTGAAGAAAAAAGGACACCTCATGTGCATGCCAGCTGACACGATTGCCTTTACCCCTCCTGGCATGGGGAGGTTTTTTTTGCCCCAAACTGTAAAATAAATATAAATCAATAAAAAAAATAGTGCACATTTTCAGTGCAACAGCAAACTTGTGAAACAACAACAAAAAAAAAACATTATGAGGATGAGGGTATTCTGGATTGTTACCTATATGTTCTCAGCTCATTGGTCACAACGCAGGACAGAGCCAGGGAAAAAGTTTACTGTAAGTTTTGTATCTAACGTGCCCTTGTTGTTCATTTTCTATCAGCTTTTTACAATTTTTTTTCTCTCACAGTATTATTGGACAGTGCGTCACAACTAAATACGGGACAGGTACTTCCATTTCTCAATACAGAACAATTCCGTCTTTCAAGGGACGGTTGGCAATCCTAGGCTTAAATGACTGTTTTTCTTCAGGACTGAATCTTAATATTATTGCTATCTCTTCTCTGACAACCTTCCTTCACACAACTCTTTTTCCTCTGAACTGCTTTCTTCTAATTCCTGTTTATTTCCTTGATTCTCAAACCACCTTTCTCCCCTTTAACCTCATCTATCTTCTCCATTTGAAACTTTTGTCCAGTCTTCCTCATCGTCATCTGCTTTACTTGGCATTTAGTTCCATTTACCAACCCATCTGGTAAAAAACGGTTTTCACAAATGACTCGTCAAACGCCAACTGTTTGTTGGCTCCTCAGAGAAATACCAGCAAGCACTGCCATTTATGATTGTCAGAAAATGTAATGACTTTTCTTCTTTTTCTGTTATTTTAAGGGGGTTGGCAAACTAATTGTAGTGCATTACCGCCACCAACTGACATGGAGTTAAACAAGGAAACAGAAAGCCAGACTCATTCCCAGAAAAAAAAAACAAGGAATAAAATAAATAATAATGACAATTTACTGAACCGTTTAAATTAACCCAACATAATGACTAATACTAAATCAAATTCATCCTCATAATTTCAAATTTTTCTTTATGCTGACATCATTCTTTCAGTTTCTAATGGTCTTACTAGTTTTCTCATTATACTTTCAACTGTTTTCCTGTTTAAATCTCTCACTTTGAGGTGCTTTTCTGCAGCTTTTAGTATTATTTAGATTTTTTTGTTTTTCTTTGTCGTCTGAGCACTAGAATTGATAACTTCTACCATGAAATTAACAGAATCCTTTTGCAATGTTGGGGCACTCCAGAGGTTTTGCAGTTGTCATTTGCGCCTCTGTTGATTTGGGTCCTTCTGACTGCGATGGGATTCTTTTTGCAGCTTTAACATAATTTGTTCTGAGCTCTAATTTCACTTTTCTAATGTCTTCAGATCTTTTGCTCACTTCACACCCATGATATGCAGCAGTATGCTCTCCACCACAGTTAAAGCATTTAATCTTTACCACACTTTCCATAGCTCCAGCACTCCTTCAACATCGTTGTTTGTCTTTACATACAGCTGCTATATGACAGAATTATTGGAATTTAAAACATCTTGGAGGTGGAGAATTGTACATTTTCACTTTGTAGCTCATTAATCCAATGAAAACCTTACTGAGTAATTGCTCTTCTTCAAATTTGATTAACACTGATAAGCTGTCACACCTTTCTCCCTTTCTTGTTGTTTTTTAACTGTTTAACCACTTTTGCTTTTGAGCCACTTATATTTTCTAGAATTTCAGTTACTTTTAAAGGCACTCCTCCTATGACTCCCCTGCTAATCCTTTCGTTATTCACAAAGCAGCATTGAACTCTTTTCCCCACAATCTTGTCAAAGCATATAGCTTTTTAGTTTGATGAGAGCTGTCTCTCCACTTTACAATTGTTAGGACTCCTGTCTGTGTGGTTTGCGTTTTGTGTGTTTGTCTTCCTTCCTCCACCAGGCGGCGCCTGGTCCTGATTCACCTCCTCACACACCTGCTAAGGGTTACCTCATTAACGGAGTGCTCTTAAGCTGCTGACTGCCACTACCTTGACACCAGTTTTGGGTACTCTAGCCAAGCTGAGTCAAACTGAGTTTTAATCTTGCTATTTTTGTCTTTGCCTCTCAGCAGGAAATCATCCTGCAACTTGAACGTTTCGGACCTTCTCTCCCTGGAAGGCTCAAACTGAGCTGGGGATTCAAACAGGAGGATTGGATCCACTTTCCTCCAAGGGATCGTTTGCGTTTCACACTGAGCAAGGGATTCATCTGCACCACAGTCCATTCAAGTACCGCAGGAAATCTGAGTGGCAGTCAGTTTCTCCGTTCTCCTACAAACAACCGCATTCTGGGTAAACCCTGTCCGCCCTCCACCGAATGAGACAAACACTAGAACACCCCACTCCGACTGGAGTCTAAGAGTCAACCACTTTTCTGGAAACGTGAGTCTGCAAACCATTTCTCCTCTTCAAGTTCGAGAATCTATTTTCCCACTGAACCTGAACTAACCGCAGTGTCTTCCCCTCACCTTTCAGTTCCGGTTGAGCAGTGTTCAGAGCAACACTGGAATCTCCACCAAACTTCTCAATAAACCTGTTAAACTTTTTCCCTGGTCTCTCTGTTTTTCTGCATGTAAGTCCGGGTTCTTAATAAAATCATGACAATATTTTGGCACTTTGGACTTTTCCTGCTAGTTTGCTTATTGTTTTTGTTAACTGAACCGGATTCGAATCTTGAAAGAGTCTCCCTGATTAACTAGTTTGAATATTGTTTCATAATAATTTTGTGTAGTCAATAGCGAACCGGCTCTTTTTATGTTGAGCTAATATATAAGCTAATAGTAGTAATCTCCTTTAAACTGACAAATGTCAACATTAGGGTTAAAAAAATGCTTCAGTGTTTTAGAATATTTGAATAAAACACCGTCTCCAGCGGGGGTCACAAACTCCAGCCCTGCTAATTCCTGCTCCAACACACCTGAATCAAATAAATGGCTCATCTGCAACTGCAGACCGTAGCCAAACGGTCATTTAATCATTAGTTCAAGTTGTGTTGGAGCAGCGATGTATCTAAAAGCTGCAGGTCAACAGTTCTTCAGGACTGGAGTTTGTGACTCTTCATCTGCAGCAGATTTGCGGTCCTTGATGTCTGGTGTCCTGAAAACTTAATGTTAGCAGAAGATAAAGCTCATATTTCCACCAATGTTATTTTACATTTGTAAGGATTTTTTCATGACCTCTGCAGGTTATGGTGATGCCTGTACAGGTTCAGCAAAAAAGGAATGATAACTTTTTTTTTTTCATTTGCATACAGACTTTTTTTTTATCAGCAGTTGGGATCTAAGAAGATTTTCTTCCCTTATTTTTAATGAACGCTCCGCAGGGATGCTGCCATAGAAAAAAATGCAGTACACATTAAAAACCAACAAAAAACACTTTCTCCACTAAAAAGTCCACAGTGGAAAATGAATCCTGATCAAAAATACAAATCAATTCCCATATATACATATATGTCTATATTTCCAATAACACAGCAGTTCTTGTAATAGTCTTATCCGTTTTGGAGACCGATTGCTCTGCCTCCAATCTGCGCAGTGCAAAAAAAAAAACGACAAAAAAAACAGTTCCCTCTGCTTTTGCATCAAACATCCATTATGATGCATTTTTAAATGGTGTTTTATACTAAAAAATGAGAAAGGGAAATGGGTGGTTTTGGAGGAGCAGAATCATGTACTAACCTGCTAACATCAGTGATTCCCTATCTTTCAACAGGGGGCAGTCGCATTTAAAACGCCTGCATGCATAGCAAAGCCAGCGTCCCATCTGTTTAGTTCCTTTCACAGAGCTCATCTGCTGAGGTCTTTGAATGCAGCACAAAGCCTTTTGATCCTTCTTCTTTAACTTTACTGATGACATCAGTGTGAAAAAAAAATGGCTGCAACGGTAACACAGGATCAGGCCAGAGATCTAGAAAAAAACGCTGATCAGTAGTCAGAAGCCCTGTAGTTCGCTGAGGAGGGATTAACATGCTGAGGTCAGTGGGAAACCAGCATGATTGATTTATATGAGGATGTGGACAGTGTGACCATGAGAAGCTGTTATTCACCATGCATGGAAATAAATAAGAAAGACCTCCTTTTCCTGCAACATTACTCTGAACAGGGACCCAGAAAGAGTTTGTCATTGGGTCACAGAAGAAGGAAGGACTTTCTGAGGCCAAGAGGACGCTGAATGTCAAGCAAGCTTCAGCTCATTCAAGCAACTTTTACATTTAAATATTTGTTTATGTGTAATACAAATTTCCTGCTGCCCTGATTTTAACGGAATGCTGGATGAAGGCATGAGTGCACAGTGGTTAAAGCGAAGAGCAGCATGAGGCAGCGAAGCTCCGTTTCCCTCTGGGACATGTTCAATTCCTCATGAGAAAGGTTCATCCTCGTGCAGATCTTCCAGCTCTCCTTCCCTGGGTCCGTCTCCTGCGCTGCTCTTTCTGAACAGAGAACGGGAGAGGAGAGAGATCAACGAGAGCCGATCCACTGATCTGGCAGCATTCGACGGCTGCACAGAGGGCACAGCTCTAAATGCTCCACGCTTCCACCCTCTGAAGATACAGTGAACTGCAGCGAGGGGCAGAAGCAGCTGAAGCTGAGTGATGCATGAAAGGAGCTCCTGTAGAACATGATAGCGGAGTGCCTGACATGACTGCTGTGAAGAAGCAACTACAGCATTTTTTATCTAATTTTTTCACCTCATGTCACATTACAACCAACGGCAGCAGTTTGTAGACACAGACCAAAAACAAAGTAGCTCCTAAAACTAGATACTAAGATACTGCCTCCCTTACTCTGATCTGTAAAAATAAAATCAGATAGATTCATTTCACCTAAAAAACAAATAAATAGCAAAAAAGTAATAATAATTAAAACCAGTGGAGCAAAAAAGTATTTAGTTAGCAACGGCTTAAGCAAGTTCTCCTACCTAGAAGGGTGAGGTCTGAAATGTTGATCATAGGTTCAAATATTAGAAACATTTTGAGAAAAAAAATCCGGGTAGTCATTGCTGGATTTAAAGAATTTATTTGAAAACTATGGTGGAAAATACTTATAGGGTCACCAGGATGTCTGACCCTCCCAGACATTTAACTTCCTTTTTAAGAAGCTCTTCTGTCCTCCAATTATAATCTGCATTAATGAACTCTGTCTGTTCGTTATCTGAACAAAAGACACCTGTCCACAGCCTCAAACAGTCATACATCAAACTCCACCAAGACCAAAGAGCTGCTGAAGGACACCAGGAAGAAATTAGTAGATCTGGACCAGGCTTGGATGACTAATGCTGGGCTTGAATTCAGGGGCTGCGAAAAAAACTTAGAGAAGACCAACAGGAAACCTTTAGCATCAAAGGCTGAGCTACAAAGTCATCATTGAACTTTTCTTATTGAATAAATACTTATTTTCAACCAGGATTTAGAGATTGATTCTTTAAAAGTCAAACTATGTGATTTCCTGAATTTATTTTTCCTTCTCGCTGTTTCTCATGATGGAAATTACAGACCTAATCTTTCTAAGAAGGGAGCTTGCAATCGTTGCCTAAATACTTTATTCATAGTATAATTCAGGGGTGTAAATTACACCAATAATGGCGATTCGATTCAGTATCAATTTCCTGACCCAACGATTCGATTATTTTCGATACTCAAGAAGACACCACAATATGATTCGATTAGATTCATTGGTAAAACACAGCCTAGACAGTGTTTCAAATTTGAAATAAATCAATGAAGGCTGTAATATCGTTCTGCATTTTATTTGAGAAACAACAGCAAATAACAGAAAAGGCAAAGTTGTACTCCACCTAGGCCTATGAAAATGTCATTCACTGAAAAATAATGACACTTATTTGTTTACGCGAGTGTGTTTGAGAGGGTAGGGGCTAAAGAAAGCAAGGTAGGAGGGCAAAATAGGTTTGGCGCCACTGCAGCATAGGAGTCAGAATTACATCCAGGAACAAATGGATAAAAATATAATTATTTAATCCGAATTCGATGGATGTGTCGATGCAATGGATTGTCGCCTGTTGGATCGATGCATCGATACAAAACGAATATTATCTACACCCCTGGTATAATTTGCCATTAACTTGTTAAATATGTGCCTCAAATTCCGTTTTGTTGCAGTAATGTGACAAAATGTGAAATTGTTCAAATACATCTCCAGGCTGCATAAAGCAAATGCAGAGCAGTCTAAGATGAGGGGCATGATGATGCGTTGGTGGGTGTTACACAAAGGGGTTACCTGCGTGAAGGGTGAAGTTTAAGAGAAGGCCGGAAGGGCCACGAGTCCCTGCAGGAAGAGTGGGAGAAAAGACGGGAAAGGTCACAGAGGAGTAAGAGGAGGGACACCAACACACCTCCCAAACATGTTGGAGCTATCAGACACATTTAGAAGGCCTCCAGCTCGATGTCGCCCTAAACGGGAACGGTTAAGCTCTGTTTGAAGCTCTGCATGAATGCACAGCATTGGCATCGCAGAGATGGATGAATGAGATAAAAACAGGTTGTCAAGCAAAAAAAGGGCATAGGAAATAAGAGAAAACCTGCTGTGCTGCTTGCATGATTCTATTGTCAAATTATCTTGTTGGAAAATTAGATCAGGACGCCAAAATGACAGGAAGATGTCAGTCTCGATTTAGTTAACATTATAAGGGATTCATTAAATGTTAAAACTTTGGTGGCCCTTTTTTCTGCCAGCAGGGGGCAGAAATGTGTTTTCTTTTTCCTCACATGGTCTTTAAAAACAAACCATGTTGCAGCAGCCCTGGAGCAGAGGGAAAGCCTCAGCCCAGATCAAGGAGAAATCAACCACTATCACAGCACAGACACCACAGTGTGTGGCTGATAAATAAGCTGGACACCTCCACTAAGACCGCTGTCCCGAGGGGACAGCAGAGGACGCTCACACTGCATGATAGAGTGAGATAATCAGTAAGTCCACGGTCAGCATAATGCAGTGGATTTCAGTGGATCCGTCTGCCTATAAAAGCTGGAGGTAAACTCACTTAGAAACTCTTACAAAAGCTCTAAGCTCTACTGCATACAACATAAAACTGAATAATGGTTCTATGGCAACAAAAGGCAGCAGGTGCTGCAGGAACACAGAGAGCAAGGTAACCTGATAGAGCAGGAAAAGGACACAGGTGAGTAGATTTGAACAGATCTGAGGTAGTGTTGGATCATCTGTGAGGAAGGGATATGAAATGAGTAAATATGTAAGAGGGGTGATGATCTTTCCAGGCCGGACTGTGTGTTCTTACATCAGCAGGCTGCCAGGTGCAGACATGGACCTCTCCTCTCGCCGGGTCGGGCACTCGAAGGGGTTACTGAAGGAGCGCTTCCTCAGCATGGCCTTCACCAAGATCTGAAGCCAACACCAGAAGGCTTCATTAATGCTCCGCTTTTATTTCAAGGCCACTGCTCCGTTTTTTTCATATGTAACAGCAACAAAAAAACAGCTACAGGAATTATTTAGTGTTTGAAGCATGAAGGTAAAAGTGAGATTATTAAAGGAAAAGACATGTTCAGAATTCAAGTACTTTAAATATGAAATTATTACATACTGTTCAATAAAGATCAGTGTTTTTCATTAAGAGTAATTTTCATTTGAATGTTCTTCACTGGAGGCATCCATGTTTGTCAGAGAACACTACTGCCACCTACAGGTTTGTGACTTCATGGTGCGGTATCGGCTGTTGATCAAGTCCCAGTGCTGTATCTGTTTACATCCAACAACAATGCGTGTGGGCATTGTTTAACTATAGCTCTGGTGAATTTTCAATGGTTTTTTCCTCTGGAAATCTTCAATAATTGTTGTTGATTGCAGATGTGTCCAGTAGTTCCCATTGATTTAGCTTGTAAAGCGGGGAGAATGGCGCTAGGCTTACCGCACAGTGACGTCACTGCTGGAAGATGTCAGGAGTGAGGTGTTACTATATTTTGGCAAAAATGGCCGCTCCCTGACTCAGTGATCTCGACCAAAACCTGTTTTTATTTTTTTACTGATTAACACAAAATTTATTAAATCACTGCGAACGTATTCGTTTAAGGTATTGATAATGATTCATTGATTATTACTTGCTGACTGGACTTTTCCTTTACAACGTTAAATGTATTAGAAAAAAATTAACAGGTTGGCTGGAGATTGCTGATAAAGTAGGACGTTTAATAATAATGATTTAACTTTATTGGTCTCACACTGGAGAAATTTACCTCTGCACTTAACCCATCCCCTCAGGGAGCAGCGGGCTGACACTGTGCAGCACCCGGGGAGCAGTGTGGGGTTAATGGTCAGGAATCAAGGGTGGAGGCTGGGATCGAACCAGGTGCTTGCAACCTTCTCAGATTATGAGCACACTGCTCTAACCACTAATCCAACACTCCATCCCAGATAAAGTTGAGTGAATCCATTTAAAATTTTAGCATTTAAGCTGCGCTCTACATAGATGAATAACATAAACACTAAAGGGTAAATATATCTGTGACATAGGATGTATAATATAATATGCATGTCCAGAACTTTTTTAAATTTTATTTCAGGTTTCATTTTATTTTTTATTCTAAACCTATTGAGAGATTAGCCCCAAGCCCAATCATCACTCAATGGAAAACCTGATTCTTAAAATGCAGAGCAAACAGAATATTTCTGCTTTGACACAGTTTACCTGCTTTTCAGTGACTTAATGTTTTATTTATTAGCTCATAAGTTTGTCTTACATTTAGAACTGTGCCATAGAGCCATATTTTAGAAGATTTGAAACACACGGGTTGTCTGAAATACAGCCTGCTAAGAGTTGAGGTTCTGTCAGTCTTGAATAGAAACATCGTCAAAACATATGAATTGAGAGAAACCTCGTTAAAAAGGATTTCTCACAGATACAGTTGGATACAGTATATAAAGATCAGAGTTTTGATCAGGTCAGGATCTGGATTCCTCTATGAGGAAACCTTGTCTTTTTCTCCATGATCCCAAAAACAGGTTTAGGTGATACACAGATTTCTTCATTGTGCATAGAGAGATTTTATTCTGACTTTTACTAACTGAAACTATCAAATTACCATCAGTTTGTTTAATCTAAACTGGAATTGCACCGCTCCTTTTTCAGTAACCTTGCCCAGACTCGGCCTGACCATTTTAAGCTGCTTGTGTTGCTAAGTGGGTCCGACAGATTTAGCCTGCACTGTGTTTCTCACCACAGCAGAGAGGCTGGGGACGAACTTCACAGAGTTCTGGATGTCCTCCTCCGTCACCTCCACCATAGAGCAGTGCTCCTCCTCCAAAGGCAAGGGGTCCGTGCCTCCCTGGGTCACCCACTGATCAATCTGAATATGTAAAGACATCACCAATTGTAATCATCATTATATATTAGTTCTCAATGGGAACCTTTGCTCTCAGGTTTTTATGACGTTCCACGCAAAAAAATACCTAAAAGATGAGAAACTTGACACTTTTATCTGTGGGATAGGGATCGTTATTGATGAACATCATAAAAAGATGGAATGCAAAGGTTTAGGAACTGCTCATGAGGAAATGTTCATATCTGACATTTTTAGACAGCTATTTGCATTTTTTTACTTAGATCACCAATTGTTTATATTCAACTGCAAAAGTTTTAATATGCCTGGAACCTTTTTAAATTTTGCCGCATTACAATTATGACTATTTTATCATTAGGGTTTTATGTGACAGGTCATGAAGAAGCTCTGCAGCAATAGAAATGATCACTAGCCTGAGTAACACAAGTTATCGGACTAGAAATAAGTCATGTAAATATGTAGGATTTTGACTGACGGCTGGTTTATGCCAAATAATAAATGTATGCATGTACATGCCTGTCAGAATCAAGTTTGGGCATTAAATGAAAGCTCTGTCACCAGAAAAACACTGTTACCATACAGAACCATGGTGGTGCCAGCATCATGCTGTGGGGATGCCTTTCTTTAGCAATTTGAAGGACAGACGGAGCTAAATAACAAAGTAGCATGGATCAAGATCTGAAACCTAACGCTTTAGATCGCAGCACATTCATGCTGGAATGTAAGGTTTGACAAAACTTATCTGAAGAATTGGCAAATGTTGTTTTAGTGTCTAGATGTGCAGAAGCTGGTAGAGAAATACCTAAAAAAAAACAGCTCTAACAGCACTAAAAGTTAAGTCTGATCATTTCCGACTCGGGAGGCTCTAGCTTCAAAAACAGGACACAATTTGAACATTTTATGTGTAAAATTACAACAATCTCTCATTTTCTCTCAATTCTACATTGATGCTTTTCTTTTTAAAGCTCTGTCAGAATAAATCGAAATAAAAGCTTACACGTTAACAAAAATAAATCCCTTTCTTCATGAAATCATTGTATGTCATCTGAGGGACTAGCCGAGCTCAGGCTCTCTGCTCTGTAGCTCATCTCTGAGGACGACTCTGTTCTGACTGGTCAATTTCCAATGGCTCTTCATCCTCCAGCCTATGATTTTCTGACATGTTTGTGTGTGTCTAGTGGTCTGAGCATGAGGACACACATGATGTCTAACAGGCTCATTATCTGTTTTTCCATAAATGCAAACAGTGCCTCTGGTGAGAAAATGACTCGCTGTGACAGGATTGGATTGTGTCATGGAAAGGTCTAGGGGGAGGGGGTATCTGCTCCGTCCCTGACTGGTCCTGAACCTTCCCTGACCCCTGGGTTCAGCCTATCCTCCCATAGGGACGGACCGATTCTCTCCCTGGAGCATCACACCGAGTTAACGAGTTTAACCAGTTAGATGGCAGACAATAAGCTACGGTCATATTAACACATCACAGTACTTTGATCTCAGGGATGGTGATCCTGCTGTCTGGGTTCTTATCCAACATCCGCAAGATTAAAGTCCGTAGCTCCTCACTGATCGTTGGTCTGCAAAGAAACAAAAGGAAGGAAGGAAGTCACCATTTCAGAAAGGTTTTTATTTATCCACACAAACCATGAGATAACTCACAAATTAATGCAGGATCTTTGTAAAATGGCTCCAGGTATCTTCTGGATCTTATGATTCAATTACTAACTAATTAAGGCCAGAGCTTAATTAAAAGAGACTGAAGGCTGCAGTTAGTCAACCAATCCTTACCAACCTCGTTAGCACCTGCTGTAAACTGGAAGCCATCGACATTGAATCCACTTCTCTAGTCTAAGATGAGTCAATTTTATTTGTATAGTACAATTCAGTACATGGTCAATTCAGAGTGCTTTATATGGATTAGATAATAAAAGAGAAGCGAAATAAAAAAATAAAACAAAACAATTGGGCCACAAAAAGGAAGAATAGGTAGAAAGGTAGAATCAGGTAGAAAGGAAAATAAAACAGCTGGATCAAAACCTAAAACTAGTACTAACTCAGTTAGCTGTTTAACTTCTAACTTTTCTGATCCTTTTAAATAGGACAAAATATATGCACCATATTTATTTGGCCCTGAGCTGAACTTTTTCAAATTAATCCCACTTTGCACCATTGTTTATTATTTATTTGTCTGTTCTCCATCTGCTGTTTTTGTGAATTGGAACAGGGCTGAGACTGATGACTTTTCACGAGTACACAAGCACATGAGAACACACAAGTACACATATTGAGAAATGCTCCTCCATCAGCACCAGAACCACACTCAGTGTGAGCGGCAATCTACTGAGGCTGATTGGGGTTCATGGAGAGACAAGCAGACATAAGGATATTAACATAAATGGAATAAGATTGCTGCTGCTCGGGCACTGGCAGAGGATTATGATGCTGAGAATCGACATTTGTAACCTAGAAAAAGGATTAGAAGAGTCTTCCCCCGGGACCTAGACACTGGTGGGAGAATAAGCCATAGGATGAGTGGGACTAAGAATGAAGGAGGAAATAGAGCGGGGGTAGGTGACAGCTCACTCATGAGAAGCTAGCCCAGGAGATAAATGAAGAGGATCTTGAAAGAATACTGGCTTTGGTGGAGGTGGGGCCCCAGGGCTGATTAGCTGAAGCTGAACGAGGACATTGCAGGTGGTTCTCAATGTGTAAAACATCGAAAAATGACAGAAAACTAACCGCTAATTTTGCTAATAGTACATCCACATGAACACCCATACAACCTAACAATTTCTCCTGTCTACCCTTGTGATAAAAAAGGAGTAAGAAAAAAGGTTTAGATTATGCTCCATTTTCTTTCTGCTAAGAATGAAACAAATTAGTGGACAATTTCAGAAGGATGCAAAATACCGGATTATGACCTCTTTAAACACCTAATCTGCACAGTGACGGCAACCGTTCTTTATTTAGCCAATGTCTAATTTACAAAAAAATTATTTTTGGCTTACAGGGTCTCAGAGTTTGTTCAGCCTTCCTAAAGAAGTGCCACATCGTCAGAAGTGGTGTAATACCTGCAGAGGCTCCAGAGCAGGGGTTTCCAAGTTTTTTAAGGCTGAGGGCCACTTCAAGGCCACCGAGAGATAGAAAGGGCTACCAATACTGAACCATGAACTGCAAGGGTCAGCATTCACATAAACTTTATAAACAAAATGTTTTATTGTTTCTTTTAATAACCAATTTTATTTTAGACAATATAAATTATCTGTAAATGATTAAAAAAAGTGGAGAAACAGAATAAAATAACATTTTTAAATTGAGTTACTTTTTTAGAAGACTGGGCCTTGGTGCCCACTGGCACCACTTGGTAACCACAGCTCTAAGAGAACACCTAAGGTTATATTGCAGCAAGGGAAAGCATCTTTAGTCCAGGTTAGAAAAATAGCATCAGAAAATAAGGCTACGTTCACACTGCAGCCTGAAGTGACCCAATTCCGATTTTTTTGCCCATATGTGACCTGTATCTGATCTTTTTATGACAGTCTGAACGACACAGATCGGATTTTTTCAAATGCGACCCAGGCCACTTGGATATGTGGTCCTGAATCCGATACGTATCTCATCTTTTCAAATGCGACCTGTGTCTGTACGGCCAGGTCGCATTCATCCGACCTACACGTCATTGATACTTGACAAATGTTACTAAACGTTACTAATCTGCGTCCTACTAAGCGGAGGCGGGAAAAACTAACAACCATTGCGGAAGATAACACAGAGAGCAGTCAATGGAGAGAAAGTGAGGTTGCTGACTTAATTCATATTTGGAAAGATAGCTCGATTCAGATCAAACTCGAAGGGTCTTACCGGAACCTGGCTCTCTTTCTTTTTGATCTGCTTAAAAAGATTTAGTTCGTAATGTGCCTGCTCCTGTTGGAGAAGAACTTAAAGAACGCAATATACGCTGCGGTATTACGAGTCATGTTTACTTCCGCAAACACTGAGGACGCTTGCTACATGTGACGTCATCGCGTCCTCGAGTGCGCATGCGGGACACTTCGGTTGAACGCTTTCAGTTCACACAGTAGATCATATACAAGTCGCATATACTTGGAAGTGTGAACGGACACGCAAAAAAATCCGATTTCACAAAAAAATCGGAATTGAGCATTAAGGCCTGCAGTGTGAACGTAGCCTTTGTCGCTGCCTCAGGGGGCAGTGGCTGACTGAAAGACCAGGCACCCCAAAGCCTGTTACAGAGACTAGGTGAAGTACCATCAGAAAGTCAACTAGAAGGCGTGAATGCAGCTCTGCAAGCAATTCCTACAATCAACCATCACAGTGAGCCACCCTGAATTTCTAACCGAAGGGCACACAACACTGATCCTGAAGGATCCCATCAAACTAAGGGCCAATAACCTGCCTCTCCACAACACTGAAAATGAGCACAGCTCAAAAAGGAATCTTTGAAAATACCAGAGATGCGAAACATCAGCTCCTGGTAGACAGAACAGTCGCTTGAGACTGCAGAACCCGAAACACTAACCTGAGAACTACCTGGATTGTTATAAGAAAGCCTACGACTCAATGCCACACACGTGGATCATTGAATGCTTGGAGCTTTACAACATCAACAGGAGCCTTCATTTCAAACTCAATGAGGTTGTGGAAAACCATCCTAAAGGTCAATGACAAGACACTTGCACAAGTCTCCATCAAATGTGGAATATACCAAGGAGATGGGCTGTCTCCACTGCTGTTCTGCATAGGTCAGAACCCCCTCAGCCAGCTCAATAGCAAGAGTAAGTCTCTGGCAATACATAGCTACGCTCTACCAGTAATCAGATACCCTGCAGGGAATAATAAGCTGGCCAAAGGATGAGATACAGTCCACAGATGTTAAGACATGAAAGCTCCCAACCATGCATGGAGGGTTTCACCCCAAATGCTAGCCATATGGAAGGAGGCAGAGGACTAGACATTATCCAGGATTAAAAACATGCAATGTACATCAAGGACAAGTTGTGTGCCATGTGCCATGATCATAGTTTTGGACATTGAGAACCAGTATCCATGTTTCATCTCGACATGATGACCGGAGAAGAGAATACAGTTTTAGCTGTAAGACCTCTGCAACCCCCCCTGTTTCAGCCAACTGCCTCCAAAGGAACTCCTACAGACATGTGAGTTGCCACCCCCCTCTGTGTTGAAGATAGTAAAACCACAGCACAGAAGATTTCATGCTCTCTTTCCCATGAAGCTGCCTGAGGGTCCACATCCAAAGAGGACACCACCATGGAGACCCAGGCCCAAAAAGGCCCAGATCTCCAGAATGATAAGTCATGCTGGATGAAAACTCAAGCCTTCCAAATGGACATGGACAAAAGGTTTGCAGGTCTGGCACAATTAAGGACAGAACAAACAATATGTCTTTTGATGATTTTGATCGTTTAATGTTTTTATTGATGGGTAAGGACAAAGCATGGACCGCATGTTATGCTACAGTAACATGTTTTGAGCTGTTGGTGAAGCTTGGACAAGCTTTCACTAAGGGTTTAAACACTGATATAACATTAGTGTTCATGTGTTCCTCAGATGCTCATTACATTTCCATTACCAAGTATGACCAAGAGTCATTTAGCGGAATCCTCATGTCTATTTGCTGATAGCTATTTCAAAGAGGGTAAAGAATAATTTAACTAAAGGATCACTGGTTCAATGCCCATCCAGCCTGGATCCAAGATGAGGTGCTGGAGGTTCTGACATACTGTAGGAGGATTGGTCCCTACATGGGATGTCCCACTGAAATATAACCAAAGTGGTGGATATCAGGAAATCCTACCAATGGCTAGACACAGCCAGACTGAAGGACAGCACAGAGGCACTCGTCATGGCTTCACAGAAGCTGCCAAAATACAAGTAATTTCCTTATATAGCAGTAGCCTGACAAAAGCACTCATCTCATGACTTTAAATGTATGAACAGACCCATCGCTGCTCAGAACAAGGTCCCACTACCTGTTATTTATTATTTTAAAAAGGAAATGATCTGGTTACAGTCTGTGTGCGAGGATGGGAGTACCAAATATTACAGCTTCCTGCAGAACCACCAAGGATGACTCTTTATTATGACCAAAATAACACTTTGTTCTGACACAGCCTCCTGCTTCCACTCACCCACCTGCCGCATTAATATTTCAGCAGTCTCTTTTCTCTCTGTAGCTTCACGTGTTCCCTGATTCAACCAGCTAGGAAGACCCTCTGTTTTACTCAACCTTTTATTCCAAAGGAGGATCAGGAAGTCCCAGCAGGCTATACAATAGGTTTCCAGCCTGCTGCTCTACATAAACCTTTTGATGCCAAATGGGTGACATTTAAATTTTATTGTAATGGCCGACTTTTAGAATTTCACTTCCCCCTCCTTTGGGGGGATGAGTGCTTTTAGGGCTAAAAATCCACTGAAGGGTAAAAATAACGTTTCAACTTCTCTAATAAAGCACAAAAAGGTGGAGCAATAAAGAAAACAGACTCACATTTCTGGGAAATCCACAGGCTTGGTCTTTATCTTATTGTGCAAAGCCAAGATGTACTCGTCGAAAAAGGGGCACTGCAAGCAGAGCAGAAAAAAGGAGGAGTGAACTCCACAATGAGGGGTTGCGTTAATCACAGCTCTAGCAGATACAATCTGCATCCCTACAGACGGATCAGCCTCTGGTGTTGGGTTCAACGAGCTGCATCAAACAGACAAGGTGGCAGGCATTGTTCCCGCAGAGGCGTCGTTAACAAACCAGGCCTTGGTGAGAGGAAGAAGACCTCACCCAGCCTTCGCTGTTCTAACGCTGATTAATGGAGACTCAGGAAGAATGCAGACTTGCCTTTCCAAACACCAAGCAGTACAGGGTGATTCCCATGGCCCACATGTCCAGCGCCTGTCAAACAGGGAAAATACTGCAGTTAACTGCAAATGGAAGACAATCCCTCTTAGGACAGAAAGCACACATTCCTAATATTAGCTGGTTTGTTTTCTTTTCTAGAAACTCTGAGGATGAATTTGTGTAATAAGTGGCAGAGGCACTGCTGCTCTCAGCCAGGGTTTATTTCTCTTTGTCAGTTCAGGTAACAGATGGAGTGCTATGAAAAAGTAGATCCCTTCTAGGCACACATGGAGAAAAATAGACAAACAACTATAAAGAATTTTTTTTACATTTTGATTTTTTAAATCAGAGGTGGATGTCTTGTTTAACTATAGACCATTATCCCAAGAATAAAGTAATAGCACCTGAGCTTACAGTAAAAAACTGATGATGTGCTTCAGGATTTTCTCCTGGAGATTAGGAAACATTGTTCCATCATTTGATGTGTTTCCATCTACCTAAAATCCAATTTTTAAGCCAACTTTTAAAAGTAAAAAAAGGAACTTGAATTTGGTGTTTCCATTTGGCTTGAAGTGATTTTAACCAAGCACATAGTCCTCCATATGATGGAGGATCAGTAATGGAGGAATGTTTTAAAGAAGCTGTTTGGATCAAGCAAGTTGCTCTTATGTTAGCAAGTCAGTTGGTAACGGTGATGTTGCTCCCAGCCATGTTTACAAACATAATGGGAACATCTGGCTAGACACCAACAGCAGCTGGTCAGTCATGTGAGTCAAAAGTAGCTGAGCCAGAGGTGATTAGAAATAAAGCACTTAGATCTCCTGTTTTGTGCATCAACCTTTTTCCGCAAAAGGCAAAAAGCACCTGCAGCAAGCAAAAAAAAAACTTAATTCGAATTAGAGTTTATACTCATTAGAAAAAGCTGATGGAAACGTCCCTATTTACAGGCTGTCACCCTTCAGACTGGCTTTTTTTCCCCCCCATCTATTGTAGGTTTTCTAGGTGCAGCCAGAGGGGTTCTAGTTTGGGGATTTAATCTCTGCTCTGCGAGATTGATTTCCTTCTGCTTCACTCCCTCCTCCTAAGACCTACAGAAGATGAGGAGCCCTTCATCAGCTTCTCTGAGTCTGAGGCCATGTTCTCCTCCGGAAAAACCTTCAGGTTGGAGAATAGTATATTCCTACTAGGGCTGGGTATTGTTCAAAAATTTTCGGTTCCAGTACCAATACCGATACCTTCACTTCGATACCGGTTCCTGAACGATACTTTTTTCGATACCAGTTTTATAATATCAATTCGAAAAAAAAGAAAATTACACAACATAAAAAAGTACAAATCTTGAGTTTTATTTTAAGCTCTGATTTTCCATTTACATTTTTCCTCTTACATAAAAAAAAAATTCAGTGTCCAATATTCACTGTTACATTGTGAGGACCTTTTTACTTAGCAGTTTTCCTTTAGAAAAATTACCATGTCTGACAAACAAGCCCGTTGAATTGGATCCTACTGACAGCGCACCGCTGGTATGTGGGGGTCTGAGCGGCTCCAACAGAAATATTGGAAGGCCGGATGAACTGACTGCACTGATTAAGTTTTCAGGTGGATTTTCCCACTTAAAAACATAATAAAACTACTTTATTCCCACTGATCACAGCAAATATAGCTGCAAGGCAAATAAAGGATAGAGTAGCTCCACCCAACGCGCGTCAGAGCCACTTTTCGACCGCGCGTCAGAAGCTGGTACAGGCAGCAAAAAAGGAAGCAGCAGACGTGATTTTGCTGGCCCTGCTGCGTCCAGTTTGAAAGCAGCATTCTCCATGAGTGTCTCGCATTATTCACTCCGCTCTGGCTTTGCTCTGCCCACGGGCTGCTGAGAGGAGGATGGTCGCGCCGGCTGCGGTCCGCTCTTCTTGCAGTCAAACACCGAGCGACTTTCTGCTCTTAAATTATTTCCGTGCACGATATATTGCATTGCGCACTATTGGCATCAGTCTTAATAAAGTGAAGCCGCACCTTTGACCTGGGGGGCATTTTTAAGGGGTTCCACGACGTTCGCAACCAGTTCACATGAACCCTGGCTGTAGGCGTGACCACCTGTGTATTTTTCCTTGATGACGCAATCACGTTAAGCGTTACAGCCAATCACCGAAACTTGGTACCGAAAGACGAGGCATGTTTCGATACTCTGTAGAACCGAAGCATTTCGGTCGGTACCATAAAAGTACCGAAGTTCGGTACCCAGCCCTAATTCCTACAGTGGAGGAGTTCCAAGTTTCTTGCGTTCCTGTTCACAAGTGAGGGGAGAATGGAGCTGGAGATTGATAGAGGGATCTGTGCGACTGCCACTATCGCTGCACTGGTCTGTTGTGGTGAAGAGACAGCTGAGAAAAAAAGATTAAATAAAAGAAAAAGCCCTGGATTAACCCATTGGTCTATGTTCCCACACTCAGGATCATGAAATCTGGATCATAACTGCAAGAAGGAGCTCCTGGATACAAGCAGCTGAAAGAAATAAGAGTCTAGGAAACGTAACCTAACTTTAAAAACAAAAAGATTACATTTTTGTTTAGGGTATAAATAAAAACCTGACCATCTTAAAAAGAGAAATCTTTTATGAAAGTTGATATTTAAAGCACAGCGTCCAACCTAACAAAACAAAAACAGATGCAAATATAGATTCCTTGTCCTTTAGGTGTCATTCGACTGTAGAAATGAAATGAAAATGAAAAACTACTAAACTGCATTTGTTATTGTATTCATATCTAAAACCTTTAGTTTTATGTTTTTATCATTTGAGCCAAAGTTATCAACACTTATTTCTAAAGGTCCAAATATCCAGAGCCAAAGGTGGGGAGGATATCTTCTGTTCAGCCTTTCATGAAGCATAGAAATGTTTTTTTCAAACTGTTCAAACATTCATTGATTCAGATCCTTTTCCACATCAGTAAATATCAGTTAATTTTAGTTCTAGATTATACTAGATATATTTACAGGCTACTTTATGTTGTCACACAAATTCGGGTTTTTTTTCCCTTTATATTAATTCATAGTAATTATAAAGGTCTGACAGTACTCAAGTATGGGTATGTGTAATAAACCAAATTAGAGAATGTGGTTTCTAATGACTTATGAGACACGACTTCCTGTTTGACACACAGACAGATTAGTTTGGAGAACTTATTTTTATCACACTGAATAAAATCCTCATTTGAAAACTGATTTTTATGATTACTAAGGAGTTACCCAGGTCTTTGATATTAAAATCTATAACAAAAAAAGCAGAAGTAATGAAGAACAGAGTAAATAGTTTTTCCACATGAAGATTAATGGATCCTTTCATTATCTTCTGCAATCAATATCAAAGTTCCATTCATCAAGCACTTTTAACAGCGTTGCATAACCGGCTTTAGTCACTTACAAGTACTGGATATTAGAAAATGCTTCTATTTTTTTTACGTCCTTTGGAAAGAAGAAAAATAATCGACGAGGAAGAGGAGCTCAGTTCCTGAAAGCTTGACAAAACAGCAAACTGAAGCACTTAAGTGGCTCTTTTACCCTGGTGGCTTTTAGCCTGCAATCAAATGTTCTATTCTTGCTTCTCTTTAATGGACATGCAGAGCTCTTCTCTTAGCGACACAGGAGGGAGAAAAACAGGGAGTTAAAACTGCTGCAGTGGATACAGTTGCATACATTATTCCCATGAACAGATGTAAATAATATAGGAATTAATGTGGATATATGAACTGCATACAAGCTTAATACTGCAACACAAAAAGTATCAATAACACCTTTTTGATACTTTTTCTGTTGACCAACGGAGACAGACTTATAATACTAATAATATAATTTATGAAACTAGTATCTGACTGAACAATATGTTAGAAAGTTAAAAGAGTCGAACATTTAGTCACAAAATCAGCTGATGTTTATAATTCAATTCATTTCAGTGTATTTCTATAGCGCCAATTCACAACACCAGATCATACAGTCAAATTGATTCAGAGTTTTATATCTAAGAAAAACCAGTGGATTGCATCGACTAATTGACTCAAAGGCAATCCCTCACACTAAGCATGCTTGTAGCGACAGTGGAGAGGAAAAAACTCCTTTTTAACAGGAAGAAACCTCCAGCAGGACCAGGCTTGGTGTGAGCGGCCATTTAGGCCGCCTGGGGTTCAAAGAGACAGAAGCAGACATACAGAAAGAAGCAGAGATACAAAAGGCAAACTTTAAAAGGGGGCCCCGTTCAGGAAACACACAGCCAGGCAGATGAGCTCCGAGCAAACCCCCATGCCAGAGGATGAAGAGAGCACATCCAGCCAGTCACAGTCAGAGAAACAGGACTACACCGGAAAAACAGGCCGATCTCCAACATCTACAAAACAAAGGTGTTGATGGCAGCAGCACAGCTGATATCTCTCCAGGATGGTGTCACAGCGAAACAGGAACAGAGGAGGCGAAGCTACTATGAGACATCTGTGGGTCGGTACGCCTTGTTATGGGAGCTCTCACAGAAGGTATCTGATAATAGCACGTTGTGTTTCACTGATCCCAGGAAAAGTGAGAGAACAGTAATGTAATGTCAGTAATGTTTAACCTCCTGACCACAGGGAGATTTCAGCTCGTTCTCAACTGTGTTTTAAGTAAAACCCATATTAGGGAATGAAACAGCTTAAGCTGCAAAGACTTGTCTCTTTTTTATGCTTAGAAATTGTTGAAAGTCCACATTAGTTGCTCTGAATCATCAAAGATAAAGTTTCATTTTGAACTCTGCAATAAGACACTCTTCCAAAACACTCATCTACTTCCAGTTTAACAGCAGTTCTTCACTATCAAGGGTTTCCTCTACACCAGGGGTCTGCAACCTGCGGCATCAAGGGCCGAATGTGGCACTTTAGACCCTCTACAATGGCCCTTAATAGTGGCCAAAAAAGATATAAAGATATAAATAATCTACTATAATGATAAATACCAGTCTTAAAACCATTTTTTTCATAAATAATATTTTAATAATTTAAATTAATTTAGAATAACTGTTAATAATGTATTATAAA